GAAAAAAAAAAAAAAAAAAAAAAGAAAGCTCTGAGGACTGTTCTTCCTGTTAGAAGTCAGAGCACAGTTATATAATTTTTGAGACAAAGTGTTATATATCAAAGTAACATATTGACAGTTTACATAGTCTAACAAGGTGAGTAGTGAGTTATTGTGACCCCTTACAGGATTGGGAAAGGAATGTTATCTCCTAAGGATTTAGCTTGCTGGTGCCAGGAGGATATTGTTTGTTGTTGTTTTTTTTCTTTTCTTTTTTTTGTGAGTAGGCTTTCCTGTGTCTTCTAAGGGGATCTAGTTAACGTGTAATGCATATGCTTAATGCACACTAAAGGGGAGGGGATAGTGGCTCAAATGGCAGAGAAAATTTTATGTTAAATGTTTCTTTTCCTGCCTTAAAAATAATTTTGTTTCATAAGAATGAAGGCATTTGGACCAGCAAGGTCGGTGAGAACTTGAGAACTTACCCAGAATGTCTTTGCTGTTTCCACAAAGGGTGAGCCGTGATTCCTACGGGTCCTTAGAATGTGCCTATGGCTTGAATTCAAGGAGGAAGCCAAGGAATAGAAGTTGAATTATGTGCTCTAGGCTTAGACACTCTACAGCGTGAGGTCTCTGATAATTTTTGCCAGAATCCCATAAAAGCAGTCAGAGAGCTGGCTATCCACGTACCTGGCAGGATCCCCCCAGTCTGGGGCATGAGCCCCGGGACACCAGCCCGCTCCCCCACTGAGCTTGGCTAAGGACTTCAAACCTTGGGACCCATCAAAGCAGAATGTTGGAGTTGCACCTGCACTATGAATGAAACCTGGTGCATTTATAGTTTATCATTTACTGGGAAGGGAATTAGAAGAAGAGAAATTTTAATCAACATTTTTTTTCCTTCCTTGCCTCCTTCCCTCCCCTCCTTCCTTCCTCCCTTCCACCAAATCAAGCAATAGGACAGCTATAGGGCAGGGATCTTTGTTTTCTTCTCCACTATATCCCTAGTAGTTAGAACCTAGAACCATGGCTGGCTCACAGTAGGTGCTCAATGTGTGAATGAATGAATACCCAGAGCACTTCAGGAGGTGAAGTGTAACATGGTTGGCCCTATGCTACCTCCTGGGTGGGGTTTTGGGGGTGGGGTGGGTATGCCTACTTGCATACCCCCCTGCCTTTAGAAAACACGGTGTAGCAACAGCCCTGGGACCCGCCTCCCCTCCTGGGCACCATCCCCTGCTCCCCCCACTTCTGTCACCTGCTGCCCCCCTGGCCCGAGGGGGTGGTGGGGCCTGAGGAGAGACTGGAAACCAGAGCCCGCTGCTCCTTGATAGGCTGCCTTGTCTGTGGCTCTTATCATCGTTACCAGAAACTTCCTGTGAATTAAGCATTTGTTAATTATTTGGTGGAAGAGGAGACGCGGGCAAAGTTTCACTTGCGGTTCTGCTTTTGACCAGGACTCCTGCGGGTCCTGCACCTGCTCTGTAGGGTCGGGGAGGGGGTCACCAGCTCAGCGCCCCCTCCCCACCCCGGGCATGAGGTGAGGCCCAGGTGCCCACTGTTTCTCTGCCTGTCCTGCTCCTACTTGCCTCTCTCAAGAGCTTCCCCCTTAGATTCGGAGGGATGCTGCCCAGGGGAGGCATGAGGACCTCAGCTCGCCACCAGAGGGGCTGAGTCTCATGTGATGGGGACCTCGGTTGTAGTACAGGATGGAGGGCGTCAATGGCGGGTTCAGAGAGCCCAGGCCCACCCCAGTCAGTGGATTCACCTCCACAGCTAGACGCTTCCATAATGAATCCTTGCAGTAACTCCGAGAGGTGTTATTATCCTAACGCTAAAGATGAGGAAACTGAAGATCACAGAAATTAAGCCAGAAAGTGGCGGTGAAGCAAATTCAAAGTGAGATCCATAGATTCTAAGAGCAAAGCTCTTTCCGCTTTTTTCTCCCAATTTTCATTCTTTTACTAATGAATTCCCACATGTCATTAAAGATTGTCTTAAATGAGTGTTCAGTTACCCAGGTGTCAAAGGGGATATCGTCACAGGATGTGTGTGTTTAAGAGTCCCCAGAAATCTATATTTAACTATTTCTTTCACCGTGCCTTCTGTCTCTTAGAGCAACAGTCCAGAGGCTAAAGGAAGTTAATCAGTGGCCCTAAAAAATTAAAAAATTTCACATTTTCTCTCTGATTTTTTGGGGGGTTTGGGTTTGAGGCAGTGCCTGAGTGCATTTGCTGCAATCAGCAGAGGCAGTCCCATGCAGGAATGTCACAGGAGCAGCTCAGACATTAGGTGGCGTGTTGGAGGGGGTGACCCTTCGGTTTTGTTGAGACCCAGTGATTCTCAACCAGGGGCGATTCCCCACCTGCCCCCAGGGTCATTTAGCAATGTCTGGAGACATTTAGGTTGTCTCAGATGGGGTGAGGGGTGTCTCTACAGTGCACACAGACAGCCTCCCACAACAAAGGATTATCCAGGCTTAAGTGCTACGGTTAAAGAAACCTGCTCCACCCAAGGTGCATGGAGGGTAGGTTTCCAGACACGGAGTGGTTGAAAGACCACGGGCCTTCAGATCCCATTATATCCATCTTTCTGCAAGACTCTGAGTAAATCAGGAGCTCCCTGGAACTCCGGGTTGCTTCCTTACCTAAAGCCGTGATCTCTCCTCCTGCAGAGGCTGACACCAGTGCTTGCTTTGGCGACGCTGATAGCTGCCTTTGGGTCATCCTTCCAGTATGGGTACAACGTGGCTGCTATTAACTCCCCTGCCAAGGTAGGTCGCTATGGTGGGCGAGACGCAGCCCCCCGGGAACAGGGAGCTGGGTTTGGAGCAGCCGGTGCCCGGGTGGCCACTAGGGTGGGACTGTACGGACGCTGAGGGCACACAGTGGGACCTCAACTGAAGGGTGGGGGAAACCCATGAAATAAACAGTGCAAGCCCAAGGGACTTGCAGGCGCAGGGTCATGGGGACACACCAGGTTCTCGTGGAGAGCCAGGCCTGGCTGGACACGCGGTGGGCTGGCCTCCAGGGGTGGGGGGTAGGTTTGGGGGCACTCTGATCTTCCGCAGCCTTGTAATCCACAGCAGAGTCTGGAGGGGCCAGGCTCATCCAGCATTGATTCCGTGATTGGAAGCCTGGAGTCATTCCTTTCTGGGGTTAGAAACATCCTGGGCAGGGACTTCCCTGGCGGTCCAGTGGTTAAGACTCCAAGAGTCCACTGCAGGGGGCGCGGGTTCGATCCCTTGTCAGGAAACTAAGATCCCACACGCTGCGGGGCGTGGCCAAATAAATAATAAAGAGAACCAGCCAAATTCTTTAAAGAAAAAAAAAAAACAGCCCCGGCAGCTTGCCCATCAGAGGCCTCCCAGCCGCCCACCCCAGCGTGGGTGCCCCCTGCTAATCGCTGTTAATCTTCATTCCCCTCCTCCGCTTAATCGTGTTGATGTTCCAACGTGCCCAGCTCATCCCATCGGGTGGCCCAACAACTTACACTGTTCTTTCTGCAAAACCAGCTCAAATTATTTTTGTGTTCTGTTTTGCTTTGCTCTCCAGCTCATGAAAGCATTTTATAACGAGACCTACTATGACAGAATCAGTGAATACATAAGCGAATTTTCCTTGACCTTGCTGTGGTCGGTTTCTGTGTCCATGTTTCCCTTCGGAGGCTTCCTCGGCTCCCTCATGGTCGGCCCCTTGGTGAATAAATTAGGCAGGTAAGGGAAGGTGAATGTTCAACTCCCTGAAACTCATAGACCCCATCAGAGTTTAAAACTTGGGCCTAAAGCAGAAATCATTATCATAAAACCAGGTAATGATTGCTGTGATGATTTTTGTTTCCTGGGCTTCCCTGGTGGTTGTTTCCTAATGTGGTTAAGAAGACCAGACATCGACCGAGTGTTTGGGGACTTAGGCAATGAAGGTCTCAGGGCTGGAGTTGGGTGGGGGTGATGGGTCTCAGGGTCTGGGGTGGGCATGGAAAGAGCAGAGGGTGCTTCAGAGATCAGGACTCACTCCCGCTCTTACCCTCTCTTGCCTTGAAATCATCCTTTCCAGAACTTCCTTTTGGCCTTTAGAAGAGTCAAATGCCAGATGGCATGGCCAAGGCATCAGACCATAGACTGATGTTCCTGAACTCTGCTTCCTAAATGAACACAAGCTAACTGCTCTGTTCTTTTACCTTGGAATCCAGTTACATGCAAAATGTAGCCCAAATTAAATTCCTGTAAAACTCTGAAATGGCTGAGATTAATGTCAAGCCCTTCAGTGTGAGACCGTGTGGTCCCAGGGCGACCCTCACTGTGAGTGTCATCAATGGCAAGAGCAGAGCTTAAATCTTTGCCCCTAATTCTAGAAGCATCAGAGATTCTGTATTTGATTCCAAGAAAGGTCCTTAAGCCCTCCCACCCCCCTGGTAAATTCCATGGGCATGAGAGAGCAAGCAGCCTTGTTATGAACAGTATTTAAGAGTTCTTCCCCTCCAGCCCCCTCCCTTTGAGGATGGGCACACGGAGGCGGGTTGAGGTAAAGTGCCCGTTCTCAGCCACAGATCTAGTGAGCTCAAGGCCAGACCCCAGACCTTGGTTCCTTCTCCAGTCTTTTTCAAAAAGAATCTGAGAATAGAAACATACAAGCTGTGATTCAGGATCTAAGGTCCTGAAGTCTTGCTGGGAGGTTGGTGTTGAACGCACGGTTCTCCCTGTGGACCACCGGTGGGCAGAACATCAGTCAAGTCACAGATCTGCAGGATGCTTCTCCTGAGTGAAGGACTAGCCGTCTGGTCTGAAGATGGAGCTGACAGTTGCTAGTCCAATTGAAAATGTGATAAACGCTATTCAGTTGTTTGTGGTTTTCTTAAAGATTTATCAGTGTTCTTTAAATATCAGTAGCAGCTAACAATTAATTGATGGGTTCCTACTTGCCGGCCTCTATCGGAAGTGCTTTTCGGGGATATTAATTGCACTAATCCTTACAAAAGCCCCATCCCCTTTTCACACATGGGAAAAGGAGGCACAGAGGGTGCTGGGAGGAAATTTCACTTCTGAGCACATCGTGCAAGTAACATCCACACTGTACTCTGTTGTATCCGGCACATGTCTTCTCAATCCGTTGCCTCATTTATTTATTTATTTATTATTTTAAATTTATTTCTTTAATTTATTTCTTTAATTTATTTCTTTGGCTTTTTGGGTCTTCATTGCTGCACGCGGGCTTTCTCTAGTTGCGGCGAATGGGGGCTACTCTTGTTGCGGTGCGCGGGTTTCTCATTGCTGTGGCTTCTCTTGTTGTGGAGCATGGGCTCTAGGCACACGAGCTCAGTAGTTGTGGCACGCGGGCTCGGTAGTTGTGGCCTGCAGGCTCTAGAGCACAGGCTCAGTAGTCGTGGCGCATGGGCTTAGTTGCTCCACGGCATGTGGGATCTTCCCGGACTAGGGATCGAACCCGTGTCCCCTGCATTGGCAGGCAGACTCCTAACCACTGTGCCACCAGGGAAGCCCTGTTGCTTTATTTTTAATTGTATATGTAGTATCTTTTTGATACAAAATCTTTAAATGTTCAAGTGGTCACATTTAACTCATCTATGATTTTTGCTTTCTGTGTCTTAAGACAGTCTCTTCCCTACCAGGCGTCATAAGGATAAATTATAATTTAAAAAATAATTTTACAATTTTGTCTTTCCCAGATAGATCTGGGATAATTTTATTTTGTATGTAGTAGGTGAATGGAGAGGGAAGGCCAATTTTATTTTAATTTTTTTCCATGTAAAAAATCACTTACTCCCAAATTTATCTTTGTTATTCATGTTCCTTTAGTCTTCTGTGTTAATTTTAAAATCAGCTTATCGAAATCCCTGAAAAAGGATTCTGCTTGGAATTGATTTGGATTTATCATTTAATTGGAGGAAAACTAAACATCCTTACACCATTGAATCTTCCCTTTCATGAGCAAGCCATGGCTGATTTATTTATCCCAGAACTCATGGCAGTTCCTTGTCTGAGGTTTCATGTCTTTGTCATCAGTTCTGGAAAGTTTTCAGCCATCATTTCTACAGATATTTTCTCTCCTCCATTTTCTATATTCTTCTGGAAGTTCCTCCGTGCCTTTGTCGTTGTTTTTGTTGTCTGTAGAAAGACTTCTTTAAAAAACTATTTTTCAAAAATTGTGGTGGGAATTCCCTGGCAGTCCAGTGGTTAGGACTCCATGCTTTCACTGCCAGGGCCCAGGTTTGATCCCTGGTCAGGCAACTAAGATCCCACAAGTGGCACGGTGCGGCAAAAAAAAAAAAAGTGTGGTAAATATACATAACATAAAATTTACCATTTTAACCAACTTTTAAGTGTACAGTTGGTTTTTTTTAATTTTTATTTATTTATTTGGCTGTATTGGGTCTTCGTTGCTGCGTGCAGGCTTTTCTCTAGTTGTGGTGAGCAGGGGCTACTCTTGGCTCTGGTGCATGGGCTTCTCATTGCAGTGGCTTCTCTTGCTGCGGAGCACAGGCTCTAGGCACATGGGCTTCAGTAGTTGTGGCATGCGGGCTCAGTAGTTGTGGCTCGTGGGCTCTAGAGTGCAGGCCCAGAAGTTGTGGCGCAGGGGCTTAGTTGCTCCGCGACATGTGGGATCTTCCCGGACCAGGGCTCGAAACCGGCTCCCCTGCATTGGCAGGTGGCTTCTTAACCACTGCGCCACCAGGGAAGTCCGGTGTACAGGTTTTTGGCATTAAGTACATTCACACTGTTCTGCAACCATCACCACCACCCATCTCTATAACTTTTCCTCTTACAAAAATGGACACCATGTACCCATTAAACAATAACTCCCCTTTCTTGTCTTCCTGTAAGTCACCAATCAACTTTCTGTCTGTGCATTTGACTACTCTAAGGACCTTATATGAATGAATCCTACACGATTTGTCCTTTTGTGACTGGGTTATCTCACTTAGCCTAATGCCCTGAAGGTGCATTCATATTGTAGCACGTGTCAGAATTTCTTTCCTTTTTAAGGCTGAATAATACTCTGTTGTATGAATATACTACATTTAGTTTATCCATTCATCTGTCGATGGACATCTGGGTTGCTTCCACCTTCTGGCTACTGTGACTAGTGATATTATAATCCTCCCTATCTTAATCTGTCATACTTCCCATCTTCTCTCTCTCTCTCTGTGCTGCTTTCTATGTAACTTCCTCAGGTCTGCCTTCCTATTCATTAATTCTTTCCTCAGCTGCAATTCACCTACTACGTTTTTATTTCAATGACTATATTTTTCATTTCTAAGTTTTATTCATTTGCTTTTATTTTTTTTTTTTATTCTTTTTTTTTTTTTCTTGCGTTATGCGGGCCTCTCACTCTTGTGGCCTCTCCCATTTGCGGAGCACAGGCTCCGGACGCGCAGGCTCAGTGGCCATGGCTCACGGGCCCAGCCGCTCCGCGGCATGTGGGATCTTCCCGAAACGGGGCACGAACCCGCGTCTCCTGCATCGGCAGGCGGACTCTCAAGCACTGCGCCACCAGGGAAGCCCTCATTTGCTTTTAAAATCTATCTTTTTTGCTATTGTTTTGGATAGCTCTGTTTTGTGTATGATCTTGTTCTTTCTATAGTACGCTTTTGATTCCTTATTTTATGACACTGCTCATTTAAAACATATTTTGTGGCTTCCATTTATTCCTGTTGTCTGAAGCTGTGCTGTTTGTATGTGCAGAGCCTCTTGCAGGTGGTGGATTGTCTTGTGTGTCCTGTAATGGTGATGCTTCATCTCAGGGGGTGGGGGTCCCTGGCTGGGGGAACTCCTGGGGAGCCCAATGGGAGGGGCTTCTCCAGAGAAGCTTTCCCTTTGCCTTTGTCTGGCTCTCCAGGGCCCAAGTCCAACTCCAGTCTTGACTTAAATTGGACTGCTTTGTAAGTTTTATTAAGTTTGATTTTTTTTATAGGTTTTCAGGAGATACCCTTTATCAGCTTACATAAATTCCCTCATTTTTATAGTTTGTTAAGGTTTTCTTTTAAATCATGAGAGATATCAAATTTTATTGACTTGTTTTGCTACTTAAATTGATAATCCTGTATTTTTCCCCAGTACAATCTTTAATATGGTGTTTTTAACCTTGAAAGATTCTTATATATGCTGTTGAATTCAATTGGCTAATATTTCATTTAGGAGTTTCACGTCTATGTTGATAGGTGAGATTGGCCTAAACCTTTCCTTTAATATCCTCATCCAGTCTGGGTTTCAAGATTACACTAAAATCATGTTAGTTTATGGTTGCAGAACCCTTACTGTATTGTAATATGCGAGCCTTTCCCTCTGTTCCCCACTACTGATGCCCTCTGCATTGGGGTCATTTACATCTGCTCCCACAGAGAATATTCCCACACCAGGCCATGCACTGGACCTGTATCCATCTTAGGTCAACAGCAAATCGAACAACACAACAGCAACTGCTGTAACTGAGTAGATGCTCGGCAAACATTTGTTAAAGGAGTGGCAAATCCTTAAACCAAACCGACTGGTATTTTGTCCTCTGCAGAAAAGGAACCTTGCTGTTCAACAACATCTTTTCCATCGTGCCTGCGATCTTAATGGGATGCAGTGAAGTTGCCAGGTCATTTGAGATGATAATTGTGGCCAGACTTTTGGTGGGAATATGTGCAGGTAAACCATTCTGTGATTTGGGATGGTCAGAGGGAGGGAGAACAGGCACCTGGGGTCTGAACCAATCTGGTGTCTCTGAAGCATATAGGTTCAAGCTGTTCCTACACCTCTGCTGTGGGTAGACGCTTAAGCCCCTGCGTTATAGGGATGTGTGTGGACTGCGGGCAGACCTTCACTGTGGAGTTTGCTGTGAAGAAAGCTGTTCTTTGAAAGACTGAGATACAGAATCTTAGGACAGGACCGGTCCTTCGAACCAGTCCTTTATCTCAATGTTTTCTAAACTGCAGGTCGGGACTGATACTGACCAGGGCTCTTGGCCTTCCCCAATCAACCGAAATTGGCTAGAGGCTAGACAAGAAATACAGGCAAAAGGCTTTGTTGGGGCCCCTGCAGCCGCAGGAGGGAGCAAAAACAAGTAACAGGTTCCCTTGCTCACTCCCCGAGGGGGGGCGGCGAGCTCGTTCCTTATATGGGGTGAGGGAAGAGGTGTGTCCAGGCATCAGGCCAGAGGGGTGGCTTAGGTGTTTTGCCCACCCCTTTGTGCTGTTGAGTGCAGGGGGCATGTGCAGTACACTGCTTTCGCTCAAGGCATCCAGTGTTTTCTCCTGGCTCTTCAGAGGTGACAGTTGGGTTTTCTTTGGTCTTTTTGTATCTTTTTGTCCATAATTTGCCCCAACTACACATGCACACGGTTATTTTTAGTCTCTTATAGTTTCTCTGCAGCTTGTTGCTCAAGGAGATGTTTATCCAGGTGCAAACACTGCAGCAAAGTGTTCCAGATCTCAGCCTGTCTCAGGATCAGTTGGTGGGTGGTGACATCTGTTTAGCAAACAGTATTTTCTTTTTTGCTTTTAACTAGGGTAGACTGTGTCACATGTAGTAAAGATAAGGATTGTCTTTTTTTGTGTGTGGCACGTGGGCCTCTCAGTGTTGTGGCTCCACCCCCCCACCCACTGCGGAGCACAGGCTCCGGAAGCGGGCCCAGCCGCTCCGCAGCAGCATGTGGGATCTTCCCGGACCAGGGCACAAACCCACACCCTCCTGCATCGGCAGGCGGACTCCCAACCACTGTGCCACCGGGGAAGCCCAAGGATTGTCTTTTGAAACGTTGTTTCAGTTCTTTATCTTTATACATATGTGAGAACCAAGTTGGATTTAAAATGTATTTCTGTATTTTGCACCGTGAGTTGTGGTCAAAAAAGCTTGAGAAATTATCAAATGCATGAATCCCTCTACCAGAAAAGAGTTAATGGTAGTAACCTCTCCAAAGCCATTCTGCCCAGGCCGGGTTTCCCTGGTTATAGAAAATTCCCCCATGATGGCTTCAGACTGAAGAGACATGGTTCAGCCATGCCGTAGCCTTCCTCCAGGTTGGCTTCCTCTGTAGGCAGAAGGGCCAGGGCCGTCGAGGCAAGCGAGGTGCCCACTCTCCGGGCCGTGCACTGCAGGGTGGGCCCCCAAGGGTAAGCATCCCTGGAAATGCTGCACCCTGGGCGCTTCACTCGCCCCCCACCAGGCTGTGGCATTGTCAAGTGACTCGTTCTCCTTCCAAACACAGGGATGGGGATGAAGAAGGGATGATTTGGCCGGATGTCAGCAAACCCCTTCCCTGGAGTTTACTGACAATAGAGGAGACAGCAAGGAACCTGGTATTGGGGGAAGTGGTGAGGGATTGCAGGGCTGGGGAGATGAAGAGGAAAACAAGATTCCCGAAGACAGAAGAGGTCACCTCAAGGAGGGACTGATGGGCCCCCTGGCAAACTTCATTCATTCTAGCTTTCCCTGAGAACACCCGGACATTCATCTACCGTCTGGCCAGGAATCCCGAGGTGCCTGGCCCTGCTCCTGCAGTTTTTCCCTGCAGCCGGGCTCAGCTTTATGAAAAATGGACGATTCCTGGAAGTTGTCAGCAGTGGGCAGGCGCTGTCACGTTTCTATTGACAGCCAACAATTCAGAGTTGGTTCCAAAAAAGAAATGTTAGGCTCCAATAGAAAAATCACAGATCCCAACCTATTTAGCCCAACCCCCCTTTTTTTTTTTTTTTTTTTTTTTTTTTTTTTTTTTGGTCATGCCACACAGCTTTCCGGACCTTAATTCCCCAACCAGGGATTGAACCCAGGCCCTCGGCAGTGAAAGCACGGAGTCCTAACCACTGGACCGCCAGGGAATTCCATGCTTTTAAATAAGCATGACTTCTGGTCAACAGTTCTCAAACTTTTTGGCCTCAGGACCCCTTTACACTCTTAAAATTATTGAGGGTTCTAAGGAGCTCGTATGTGTTATACTGATCAATATTTACCATGTTAGAAATTGCAACCAAGAAATGTATTAATTCATTTTAAGATAGCAATAATAAGCCCATTACAATTCTTTATGAAAATAATTCTATTTTCTAAAACAAAAAAATTTAGTGGTATTGCTTTACATTTTTGCAAATCTCTTGAATGTCTGGCTTAACAGAAGACAGCCAGACTCTCAAACCTGCTTCTGTGTTCTGTTGGTGTGATGTCAGAGGGCATGTGATCTCTGGAAAAATGGTCAGGGAACGAGAATGAAAAGGACAAGTAACATCTCAGGACGGTTCTGAAAACAGTTTTGATCTCACAGACCCCCTGAAAGGTGTCAGGAACCCCCTGTGTCTTCAGGTCATACTTGAAGAACTCCAGCAGAAGCCTAATCTATTTGCTGTTCATTCCTTCACGTATTTCCTGAAAAGTCAGGAAAGGGTTTCATCAAGCCCCGTGGTACTTAGACACCCTAAAAACGAAGTAAACGGCCACTCTGACCAAGGGGGTTCAGGGTCAATGCAGCTTGGACCCCCAGATGCTCCGTTTGCTGGTTTGCTGTTAGTCAACGTCTTTGGTAAGAACACTTCAGACTTTCACTAGCGGAATTTAAACTTTAAAAGCTGCTTCTCTGACTTTGATGTCAGAACAGGCTGGCCGGGGGTTGCCCCGTGGAGTTGTTTTTAAGACAGAATGAGACTGTTCTCCACCGACATGAAGGGAATCCCATCTCTTCACAGACCTCCTGGTGTTTGTCTCTCCAGTGTTGCTATTAACTAAGTTCAGAAGCACTTGGACTTGAGAAGCGGCCACCAGGGCCTGAATGGTGACCGGGCAACACGAGGGCCTCGCTTTCTCTATAGCCCTTTGGGCACTGGGCCTGCAGGGTTCCCCCCGTCCACCACACAAGACACCTAAGAGCTGCTCTAAAGACTGTCCGTCTTTGTCTAAAAATTAGAAAGAATTGGTATTAATTAATGAACTGTGATACCCCTTTTAAAATATTAAGCAGAATCCCACTACTGGGCATATACCCTGAGAAAACCATAATTCAAAAAGAGTCAGGTACCACAATGTTCATTGCAGCTCTACTTACAATAGCCAGGACACGGAAGCAACCTAAGTGTCCATCGACAGATGAATGGATAAAGATGTGGCACATATATACTATGGAATATTACTCAGCCATAAAAAGAAACGAAATTGAGTTATTTGTAGTGAGGTGGATGGACCTAGATAGAGTCTGTCACACAGAGTGAAATAAGTCAGAAAGAGAAAAACAAATACCGTATGCTAACACAT